ATGAATTTTGACAGACCCAATTAAGGAAAGATAAGCTCGCGTTTCCGACTTTGCAGCAGAATACAAGTCCCTTTCAGCAGCTCGGGGCTTTTCTCTTGGTCTTGGGCCGCAAGATTGACAACGCACAGTCGGTCAAGGAGTGGTAAGGGACTAATCTGTAGGGTTTGTTTAGCTGTATATGTTGTGTCGAAGCGCTGCTTGCAGGAGAAGTTGGATAGCTATCCGACCATTGCGAAGGCCAAAGAGCTTCCGCCTCAGACCATAATTTTCCACACGCCACCTGCTTTAGTTACCATACACGATCCTCTTACTTTGTGATATCTGTGTTGCCTTTTTGCGCAGAGAGTGTGAGAGCTTCATCTAGTGCCCATGGCTTGCGCCATGTATCCACTGTTTTGTATATAGATCTTAAGTTTCTTTGTCCCTTTCTTTCCTCCACGCATTGCAATTTGGATGAACACTGTTTGCGCATAATGTATACTGAATTTCAATCTTACCCTTTCCAGGCTGTCTGAAGGCATTGACAAATCCCTGAAGAACCTTGTGAAAGAGAATGCACAAATGATTGAGCTGCAGGGAAATTCGATGGTAAACGCTCCCAGGGAGTTTCTTGGCTCAATTATATAAGTGTTTTCAATTGAAGTGCCAAGTGATTATGTCAACTGCAAGATCTGCAATAAGCGTGCGTGCATGTGTCCAAAGCTTGCAAACCCAACCTCTGTGTTGTTGGGCAGGGATGACAAGAAGAAGTTGATTGCTCACTACATCGAGTGCACGAAGAATGACACGGTCATGAACAACTTTCTGGCCAGGGCAAAGTCGCAGCCTCACCCTTGTACTTATTTGATCTGATCTTTTGCCATGTGATGTTACTTCTGGTTTTTCAAACAGCACACAGCTTGGGGGTTTGGATGCGATTTGGATATGTTCTCAGGATTTGGAAGCCACCCTTGACAGATGAAGAGAAAGCTGAAAGGAAGGAAAAGCAGAAGGCTCGCAAAGACCGCAAGGACAAGAAGGAGAGGGATGGAAGTGGTGAACGGCCGAGGCGAGGCTTGATCAAAACAATGCGGGAGTGAATGAGTGTAGTGTCAGACTGCTCCCCTGGCTTCCCTCCTCCATGCTGTCAGGAAGAAAGTCAAAGATGAATGAGTGACTGTTGCTGCGGGGGCTGGAAGGAAACCGGAGCATGCATGCATGATCACGCATGGGTTTACAATAGGTTGCCTGGAAAAATATTCATGCATGCACATGTTTCTTGAGTGAATCACGCATGGCTCGTGGCCCGTGTAGATTTTGGAGCTCTGGGCTCTGGCGGTGTAGACAGCTATGCCCTTGACGCATGAAAAATGCTGCTTGATTCTGTTGCATCAGCGCTGCATCGACCATCTGCTAGTTTCCTTATGACACTTTGTTCTGTAATGTATACATGTTTGCTTTTTGCTTCGTCTTTACATATGTTTGGTGTTTTCAACAGATGCCAGCCTCCTTCACCCTGCATTAGCCTGTGGCAGGTATAGACCTGGTTGCAGAGTGTTCTGGGGAATGCCCTGTCCCACCTGAAGGCTCATGAGCAAATGGGCCAAGAGTCAGAACATGCATGCTGGGAGCTATAGCTGATCAGGTGGTCAAACCAGGCGACCAAGAGCTGCATCTTCATACGTAGAACTAGACCAAGCGCTTCTGGAAGAAATCTTGGAGCACTTCGAGACAGGGGTGCGCATTGAGATTCACAGGCTTTTATGATCTTAACTTGTTGATCTCTTTTGTCCTGTGATCCTGTGTGTTTGATAGGCGGACAGTGCGCGTTCTTGTGTCTCAGCTGCCCGGCTTACGAGTCACCTCCGTCATCAGGATGGCAGTAACTTGGTTGTGAACTGCTATGCATGGGTTCAGATCGACGATCAAGTGACAAAAATTCATGGATCTTGACTCCTGGATGGCCAGGTATTCCTCAGACGTTGGCTGCAATCGCTGATTGGAAAGCCCCCAACCATTACCACCGGAACCTGCACAGACTCATCATGAAGTTCGGTATGTCCCTCCCAGTGTCGATCAGCTGTGTGCCTACACCAGTCAAGGTACGAACTCAAGTTGCAGATCTTCCGTGGCCAGTGCTCATGTTGAGCAGTTGGCTGCGCTTAGTGTTCGAAAGCACGAGTGGGGCTATGGTTTTGAATGGATGCAGGCTGGCGCAGCAAGACTTGTGGCAAAGAGAGCTTTGGTCCTTCTGGACCCTTTTCCGAACCGTCCTTCCAAGCCACCCTATCTATGAACAAAACGAGGAGTACTGGTCTCGATGCATACCCTTCCAGTACCATGGGGACGAAGGTCGAGGTAAACTCCGTCGTCAGGTTTTGATTTGCAGCTATGCCCCGGCTTTGCAATCGAAAGGGCACTCATTTTTGAGCAGGTTGCTGGCCACGATTGTACCAGGAGAAAGGTATGCATGCACTGAAGAAGGACGCGAGTCTTTAGAATGCTTGCATGAAGCCATTGCTGAAGACTTGATTGCTCTGTTCAATGAGGGGTTGGAGGTGCCCTGTTTGAAACAGTTTCGCATGCACACATGATGTAGGAGTCATGATGTATGTAAACAGGTCATTGAAGTGAAAGCACCTTCATGTGTCTATGCATATGCATTGCCTTTTGATGGAGGTTACAAAGCCTGATGGTACCGTTGTCACTTTACATGTGGCCTTCATTGGAGTGAAGGGTGATTGGCCTTAGCAAAGAGCCTTGCTGGCAGTTTTTGTTGGTCAAAAGGTCATATGGTCATACCTACATCTTGCGTGCCGTCATGCGCTGCTTCAGGAAAATGTCACCGATTGCAAACTGGGTTTCGAAACCTCCGGATTTGCCACTACTGCAGCGGGAAGGCTGCTGGACTTCTCAAGTTGGCTCTAGTTTCTTATGATTTGCTTTGCGCGCTTGTTGAGCAGGATTGGTGGCAAACATCTTTGAGAGCCCCATGGAGAGCAGAGCGACCAGGACCTCCTGCTACCGATGGATCTGCTTTAGCTGCTGCCCCTGGCCTTCATGCATATGCATCTCCGCCAGACCAAATGCACACATGGCATCTAGGCATAGGCCAAGACTTTGCAGGTTCTATGGTGGTGCCTTGGCAATGCTTTTGGTGCCTGAGTTTGGTGTTGATTCAAGCGTGAAAATGAGTTCGGTGTCTCGTGTTCCATGTGGTCGCTGTTGTTGGAGGTGCTCTTGGCATGCCGATTGATGTGGTGGGCAGGCTCCACTATTGAGGAACGGCTCAACAATGCATTCTTCAGTTTTCATGCATGGTGCCGCCAGCACAAAGCAACCACATCCTTTGTGCAATTCGACCTCAAGAAAACATTCAAGTGCACGTCGTGTCTTGTCAAACATGCATGGCGTGCAAATTGCAAGCGTGTAAGAGCATACAATTGCTTTTCATGGACATATATAGTCTCTAGCAAGGTTGCAGCAATGCCCGCGACTTCATGGGAAAGCCTATGACACGGCAGTTGTGTGCAAGTGGCTGCACAAGGTGTTGCAATCGCAGCCGGCCAATGATGCTCATGTCCCTTGCAGCTTGTGGGGTTGAATGTGTCAACCAACCATGCATGTGGGTGAATGTGTGCATGGCTGCTGAGGTTGCCAGCAGGGATTTGATCTCACTCATGCTGTGGGTCTTGGGCTGTCTTCAGTCTTACTTCTCGGCCATCAAGGGAAGGTGGCTAATCAGGTCTTTGGCTGAGTCCGCAGTTCAAAATTGTCAGAACTTCTGCGAGCCTGGCATGCATGAATTGGCATGTACAAAACTTGATCTACTGTTTGCTTTCCAAATTAGATTTTCTCCATGCACGGTGGCTTTCCTGAGGAAGGTTACACAGCGCTTTTCTGCTGGTGCAAGCGCAGTGGCTACAACATGTTTCCTGCGAAGCCTAAGCTTCACATGCAGATGGAAATTGGGTGGCCAAGCTGTACATGAGAGTCTGGAACGTGTTCAGCTGCTGTGCATGACTGCTGCCTTTTTTCTTTGCCAGTTCGGTAGTAAGTCTAAGTAAGGTTGTGGATGGATGACCAGCTTCAAGCTGGTGCTGCAATGGTCCTTTCACCCAATTGCATCTTGATGTGCAAAACCCATGTGCACCTGTGAGGGGTCAATGCGTGCAGCATTTACACCTGCATACCTGTGACCGAGGTTACAGTACATGGCAGGATGAAGACTACATCGGGCGGGTTACTTCGCTTCATTCAAACCTGTTTATGTGTGAAAGGTCAGAGCATATGTGGTTTGCTGTTTGGGCCATTTATGTTTTGCAATGCGTGTGCTAGGTTGCAAGGATGTCGCGAAGGGCACACAGCTGGACAATTTGTCTTGCTACCATGAGACGCGCTCTCATGCATTACCGGCGCAAATGGCGCGAGCAGGGATGGCTACACTGAAGTTCCAAAAAGGTGTGCTATGATGTCTTGCTTTTCAGGTTTGTTCATGCAGTGTACATCCTACCACGTCTGTACAGTTGGTTGGGTGAAGTCACTCATTCTCTGATTTGTTGGGATGTTTCACTATGCTGTTGATCTTGCAATATTCTAGAATGATCCTTTGGGGTGCAAGTCATTGTACACGGTTCCCATGGGAAAACCAATCGAGCACCTTTTTTTTCAGGACTCAAAAGCGTACACATTTTATAGGAGTGGTATGGAAAAAAATGGTACAAGTTTTTGTGTACCAAAGGGTCCTGCAGGCTGTATACGTGCCGGATTCACCCCTCTGCATCTATCCAGCAAACTAGACTTTAGAATCGATTGAAAACAAACACCCACAAAGCAACTCAATCAATCGGTGAATTCTCCGTACATCTTGTGTTGGAGCGCTTTGGAAGCTCCCCAACAAATGACCTAAAGGGTAGTGGACCAAGCTTTTGACGTCTTGTATCTGAATATGTCAGTCGATTCCATGGATTCTCTGTGCCCCCAAACCGGAAGTGGTTGGGCACTTGGCAAGGCCGCAAGGCCTTGGCATAGCTGAAGAGGAAGTCTTCACAGCGGACGATCACTGACTGGCTGGGTGGGTAGATGTGATCGTCCAGGTAGGACTGCATCGTGTCGTTCCACAGGTCCATGGCATTCTCGTAGAGGATCCCTGCATCAAAGAGACGTTGCTGCTCCACGTGTGACGTGGAGCAGAGAGTGGTGAGTTCTTCGGGGTCTTGAAGCAATGGCCTCCAACCTATAGTAGCAATGGCCTCCAACCTAATAGTGATGGCCTCCAACCTAATAGCGATGGCCTCCAACCTAATAGCAATGGCCTCCAATGCCATTGAACACGGAGATAAACATGTCTCTTTTTGTAATGCTCCAAGGTTAGAAGTACAGTTGCCACAATGCAAGGAGGTTTTGCCGTGCTTGCAAGCACATAGCAGCTTCCAACAAGCACCCCCTGCAACACAACGTCTGTCAAGTTTGAAGGTTCTACCCACTCGCAACTCCACATATATATATATATATCTGATATAAGTAGTTCATCTTAGTTCTCCTGTATGAACCCGGCACCGACCATTAACAAACATAGGTTGTATGCAATCTCCTGCTTTGGGGGTGTCATGGCCCATCTTATCCATACCTGCATCTTCCAATTCTCAAAACGTCTGCCCTTTGGGATCACAGGCGGTAACTGTTGCCTAAATGGGAAAATGTGGCAAGACCATCTAAGCAGCGTTTTTTTACAGTTCCACCTTCACCTAAAACATTTACGTGGACCCAACTAAAGTACGCCAAAAAATGGGACATGACCCGAACAAAAGGCAGGCAATTGGAACGGTATGCCTATGTTCCGACTTCAACCACATCCTCAGGAGGTGTAGTTTGACCTGCAAAATCTACCCCTACCAGCGAACCTCAGGTAATTAGGTGGGCCAGGAGCCCAAACGGGAATCAATTCTCATCTTGTTCTTGACTTTGCGGGAACGTCTTCCCTTCGTTCCGCGTCACCCCCACGGAAACCACCGCGGAACTCGTCTACCGCGTTCGGATGCCCAGGCCGTCGTGCTCCAAATTGCTCAGCAGCTGCCGCAACTCCTGCGCCGGCAGCTCCCGGCGCGTGGTGCCACGCAGCGCGACCGGGCGAAGCTCGAAGAAGTTGCGCAGCTCACGGGAACAGCTCTGGAGCCAAAAGTGAGGCTCCTTCACCTCAGCAGTGAAGCTGGGATAATATCCTATGAATTCCTATGGTGATTGATGACTGATGTGTATAGATGATTGCAACTATGATTGCAAATGTATCTTGACCTGGAAGGTCCAAGGGGTGTTCTGTGGTGAGAAGTTGACGCCGAATTCTCGGTGCCCAACATCCATTCTCCGACGTGGGGCGTCCATGTGTTGGAAACTCAACGGTTCCAGGATTTGCTCGTACCGGCAGTTATATAAACGTGGACAATGAAAGCACTGGCACTTGTTAAGTTGCTTGGGGACCGTCGTTCGTTGTTTCGGGGGAATTAGCGCAGAAAAAGTGTTTTTGACCCTTGCGGACCTCTGAAGAATTGGTTGTTCAGAACTAAGAGAGGGTATAAAACACGTCTTGTTTTTTTTTGCGTTGTTAGTGGCAACATACGAGACCCAAAGGACTATTTCATAGGTTTGTTTGTCTCGTGAGTGGTGAGTGAACGGCCATGGTAAAAACTTTGTAGACGTTGTAAACCTTTGTAAGTTTGTTTGTAATTCAACAACTCTGTCAACTCTTTGCAAAAGTTGCAAACTTTGTACAAATTCTTAAGACTTTGTGAAAGTTTTGTAAACTTTGTATAACTTTGTAAAAATAAAAAACTTTGTAAACGTTCTAAAAACTGTGTAAAACGTTGCTCTAACTTTGAAGAATAATTTGAAGAACTCCAAAACTTCGAAAAAGGTTTGTAAACCTTTTTTACAAAGTTTGCGAATTTTACAACGTCTTAATAAAGTTTTACCAAGTTCTTACACAGTTTTACGAGTTTAAAGGTTGACAAAGCTTACAAAGTTTGACAAAGTTTTAAAATGTTTTACAAAGTCTACAAAGTGTTGACAAAGTTTACCAAGTTTATACCAAGTTCACTACGTTTTTACAAAGCTTTCAAAGTTGTTACAAAGTTTACAAAGTTTTACACAGATTTTATGAAGTTTGCAAAGTTTTACAACCGTTTACCAAGTTTACAAAGTTTTACAAAGTTTACAATATTTTAACACAGTTTACAAAGTTTTGAACAATTTCCAAAGTTTACCCAGTTTACAAAGGTTTTACCGTTAAAAAATCAATTAAAGACGTATTGAAAGTTTTACAATGTTGCTGCAATGTTGACAAAGTTTTTACAAAGTGTACACAGTTTTGCAAAGTTTTGAAAGTTTACAAAGCTTGTACAAAGTTTATAAAACCTTTACAAAGATTGCAAATTTTACAATTTTACATGGAGTTTTTTCAAAGTGTACAAACATTTGCAAACTTTACACAGTATTTACATAGTTTACAAAGCTTTCACAAAATTTGCAAAGTTTATACAGTTTACAGAGTTTTTGCACAGTATTGAAAGTTTACAACGGTTTTAGAAAGCTTTGGAATTTGACAAAGTTCTTGCAAAGTTCGGAATTTTCACAGTTTTTCAATTTTTACAGAGTCTACAAAGTCTCACAAAGTGTTTACAAAGTTTTCAAAGTTTTTACAAAGTTTACAAAGTTGTACAACGTTTTTACAAAGTTTACAACAGCTTGTTCAAGTTTACAAAGTTTTTACAAAGTTTACAAAGTTTTTACACAGTTTACAAGGTTTTTACAAAGTTTACAAAGTTTTTACACAGTTTACAAGGTGTTTACAAAGTTTACAAAGTTTACAAAGTTTTTACACAGTTTACAAGGTGTTTACAAAGTTTTTGCAAAGTTTACAAAGTTTTTACACATCTTACAAGGTTTTTACAAAGTTTTTACAAAGTTTACAAAAGTTTTTCAAGTTTGCAAAGTTTTTACAAAGCTTACAAAGTTTTTACAAAGTTTGCAAATGGCTGGTGAAAAACACTTATGTTTACAACAAATGACATGAAAAACACTTCTTTTCAAGCAAAAAATCGTGCAAAAACACTTCTTTCACAGAACTTTACAAAGTTTTTACAAAGTTTACATAGTTTACACAGTTTTTACAAAGTTTACAAAGTTTTTACAAAGTTTACAACGTTCTGACAAAGTTTGCGACATTTGCCTTTTGTTACAAATTTACAAAGTTTTTACAAAGTTTGCAAAGTTTTGAAGATTTTGGAAAGTTCACAAAGATTTTGCCAAGTTTACGAAGTTTTGCAAAGTTTACAGAGTTTCGACAAAGTTTACAAAGTTTTGACAACGATTACAAAGTTTTGATAGTTTATTTATTTGCAAAGTTTACAAAGATTCTTTCTACATTTTACAAAGTTTTTACAAAGTTTGTACAGTTTCACAATTTGTACAAAGTTTTGAGGAAATTTACAAAGTGTTCAAAGTTTACAAAGTTTTCGCAACGTTCACAAGGTCTTTCAAAATGTTTACAATGCTTTGACAAAGTTTACGAAGTTTAAAAACGTTTTACAAAGTTTGCAAAGTGCTACGAAGTTTATAACGGTCTTCTTTTTAAATAGAGTTTACGAAGGCCTACAACATCTAAAAGTTGTTTACAAAGTTTACAAAATGTTAGTACAAAGTGTACAAAGTTTGCAATGTTTACAAACTTTTTGACAAAGTTCACAAAGTTTTGACAAAGTTTACAAAGTTTTGACAAAGTTTTCGCATTTTACAATGTTTTACACAAAGTTTTCGCAGTTTTTTACACAGTTTTACAAAGTGTACAAAGTTTTTACAAAGGTTTACGAAGTTTAAAGTGTTTCAGCGTTTAAAAAGTTTACAATTTTAACAACAGTTTACGAAGTTTTGACAAAGTTTGCAAAATTTGTTCAATCTTTACACAGTTGTTGCAGAGTTTTGAAAGTTTACAAAGTTTTAGAATTTCACCAAAGTTTCTACAAAGCTTACACAGCTGTTACAAAGTTTACAAACTATTCACAAAGTTTACAAAGTTCTTACAAAGTTTACAACGTTTTGCAAAGTTTTCAAATAATAAAGTTTACAAAGTTTTGACACAGATTGAAAAAACGATACTTTGTAGAAAGTTTGTAAGCATCAAAAACTTTTGTAAAAGCTTTGTAAAAACTTTCAAACTCAATAACTTGGTAACAGCTTTGTAAAATTCCAAAACTTGTTCAAAGCTTGATAAATGTCCAAAGCTTTGTTCAGATATCTAAAGGTTCAATACTTTGTAAAAACTTCGTAGTTCCAAAGTTTTGTAAAATTCAATGTACTGTAAGTTTCCAAAACTTTGAAGTTTGTTATTTCTATCTTTAAACTTTGTAGACTTTGTTAAAACTTTGTAATGCAAAAACTCGGTAAAAAGAATGTAATTCCAAAACTTTGTCAAATTTTTGTAAAGATCCAAAACTTTGTAAACACTTTGTAGGAAGTTTGTTTGAAGACCTGCGAAAGCTGTTCAAGAAGAGCTGATCTTTGGATCAGTGAGACTGCTTGCATTTTTTGTAAAAAAAACGGCATTTGGTGCTTGCGCTTTGGGAATTTGTGACTGATGGCTGTAGTGTTTCAGGGTATTGAGGGTGAGAAGAAGGGTCGAATGGTTATTGGTTGTGCAAGTGTTTTAAGACTTGGCCACGGAAACACCAAAACACTTCTTTCATTTTTCCAGATAACATTGGTGCAAAACACTTCTTGCGAGCAAAAACACTAAACTCAAGCAACTTAACACTGGCACTGTTTTGGAATACCAAATAATTATAGAATGGTTGTTGCCGCACCCGTAGTTTTGCAGTCTAAGAAATCTTTAAGTAAAACAATGTAAAACAAACTACAAATACCATCAAATACCATTAAATCAATGGTTGTTGGAATCCCCAACAGCATGTCTCAGTGTCTCCAAAAAAGCCTTCCCGAGCCCCACAAATTGACCCTTCCAGACCTCGTAAGTAGCTCTGAAACCCTCGCTGCGAAGGGTATGAGGCTCCCCACGAAAGCCGAGCCGATCAGGGTCCTCCCCCGCCTTCTTCGTCACGAAGCAACGCCTTCTTCGTCGCGAAGCGACCCAGATTGAAGCGACCAAGGAAGCGATGCAGTTGTTGTCAACAGTGATCATGCAACCAGCGGCATCCCAAATCAGTTCACGCGAAACGCAGTCGCCCTCTACAAACTTATTATCCCTGATTAGGGCTCCTGTCCCATCTCTTCAGAAGGTGGTTCCCTGGCCCATCTTCTCAGGATGTGGGCCAGGAGCCCAAACGGGTATGCTGTTTCCATCCTTGAGTCTCTGTATATAGAACATTTGGGTTGGAGTTCTCCATCCCTCCGTTCCACGTTTTTGAAGGTCGAACGAGAACGCAACGACGCAACAACCGGCCAGTTCACCATGAGGATGCAAAAGACGTCGGGCGCTAGACCGGGAGGTGCTCGGTGATGGGCACGATGCTTCCAATCCGCATCCGCCTTGCAGGTGTGCCAGTCGTTCAAGATCCTAGGTCCATCGTTCGAACGACGGGAGCAGTTCGACCAAGGTGAGGTGCGACAACTGAGTCGGTTCTCGCTCATGGGGTCAGAAGCAGATTCCGGGTGTTCAAGCCCGACAAAACACATTAACACAAGAAACATGTCGTGACCTCCCAAAGCAGTTGACTGCAGTTCAAGGCTGGGGCACGAGCACTGGACAGTTCACAAAACTACAAGCATCATATGGTCCCTTTAGACCTGGAAAACTCAGGAATTCCCGGTACGCCGGCAGGTGCCCTTCACCACGCCTGACTTGCTTTCTCCGTCGTCTCATTTCGGACCTCCCTTCCGTTCCCAAAGATCGAACCATCCGTTTTCGGGGTGTCCAGACTACCCTACACTACACTACAGATCTCCAGACAGGACACCCAGACAGGACGGTCTAGGGTAGTTGATGCGGCTGGTGACTCATGTGGGCCACATCGGAAACTGCGCTACTCCAACCCCGTTCGTAGCGTCCGATCGCAACCGTTCGAGTCGCGATGCCCGTTTCGCCCCGTTTCCTTGCGTCCGATGGCTCCGTTCGTAGTAAGGCCAGGGTCGCCCCGTTCGTAGCGTCCGATCGCTACGCATGGAAATTGTCACGTGACACGCTTGTCATCTCTACGTAGTGCTACTCCAAGGATCTCGACGTGAAAGCGTCGATCCAACTCTTTGGCCATCGCATTGGTGCAGGAGTGGTACCTGATGGCCATTTCCCGCGGCCAGGGCCCCGAACCGCTCCGACCGGCTGAGTTAAAGGCCTTTCTCCCTGGATGGCTTCCATGCGGAATTATCCCTACAGTAGGGCTCCTGGCCCATATCCTCAGGTTCGGTGGTTAGACCCCCAAAACCCACCCCAACCACCGAACCTCAGGAGGTGGGCCAGGAGCCCTAGTAATCATATACATGCTTCGCTCATTCCTTGAGTCTATCAGAGTCTATTTATCCCATGATCTGGGCCCAGTGCCCAGTGAATGGCAAAGTTTTCTTGGCCTCTCAAAAAGCGTCATCATCTTTGACGCGAGGCTCCTACCGGGTTACTGTTAAGTCTATAAATGGGCCCACTTTCTGGTTCGACCTTTCTTTACACCTTCGGATATGTCCAAGGACGTGGCAGCGGGTGTCTCACGGTCTGGCTGGACCTCCTTGGCAACCCAGTGCAGCATGCATCAATCTTCTTCTCAGGTGAGTTGACACCTGCAGCACCTTGAAACACCTTCCCAGAGGATTAAGACGGTGAACTATATGACAATTTGCCCTACAAGTCCAAAGACCAGTAAAACCTGGTCCCTTACCTTCTTGAATCGTGTTTTTGTATTAACCACTGTCATGACCAATGAGGGCATTGACTTGTCGGGATGAATTCACCATTTTGTGAGAGATACCACCAAACTATACCAAATTCAATTCCAGACCTCGGAGAAAAAACTCTCGTGATGCTTTCCATTCCATCAGATCGCTATGATCGCTCCCGATTCTTCTTCCAAGCTGCGGTCCCATGATGAGAATCCGTCGCTTCTTCGACGGGAAGGTGGCCGTCGCACGCGCGGAGGAGTCGCCATTGGGCACATGCTGCAGAAGAATCGCCTCAGCCGTCAGGCGAGCCGGTGGGAACGTGGATTGGGCGGCGCCCCATCCTACACAGGGGGTGCAGGACTGGATGTGAAGCCCCGCAAGGAACATCAGGGAGGTGGCAACCTGACACAGCCTGACCAAATCCTGAAATAAAGCTGTGACAAGAGTCAGAATGCCAAATATGCACGAAGAGCCAAAGGTCTATGGTGTATAGAGGCGCTGCCTGGCCCATACCTGGAAAATTCCACCTCATCATGAACGGGTCCATTTTCTAGTCCCGCTCGCGAGAAGCCTTTTTTCTCTTTTCCATGCCTTTTCCATCCTCTTCACCGCTCCAACATCCGCACCTTCTTCGTCTTGCCAACCGTGGGCCGGCGGCGGTAAGGCAAAGCGGCCTGGCCAGGGCAGTGCAGAGATGCACTGAAGGAGTCAAGCAAAATACGACCTGCGGGCGACTGAAGGACTCAACCCTTTTGCTTTCCGTGCCCCATCAAAGCCCTCTGGGAAAGTGATCATTTCCCAGGGGCGTCCGTACCCTTTGATGGTGAGAAACGGTGTCGTTGTGTGTGTGTGTGTGTGTGTGTGTGTGTGGTGTGTGGTGTGTGTGTGTGTGTGTGTGTGAAACGTCGGTAGGGGGAAGGTGCTGCAAGTGATGTAAAGGACTCCAACAGAAATGCGTGAAAGAAGAAAAATGGCTCACAGCTCCAAACCCCAATGTCCGCTGTGTTTCCCTGTCCAAAGAATATAACTGCCTTCTACTACTAAGTGCTAGAAGCCGGGTCTGAGAAGCTGAATGTTCCAAACCCCGCACCGAAAGACCTTAAAAGCAGGTGAAAAGAGTCATGAGTCAGCGGTGTAAAACCAAATCAAAGAATCCACCACCATGAAAACATGAAAACATCCGCTTGTAGTAACAAGTGCCACGCTTGTAGTAACAAGAAGCTACTAGGAACAGGTGCCTTACTATAGTAGTAACAAAAAGCTACTAGTATCAAGACACTGGTATCAAAGGGCACCGCTACGAACGGAGCAAGAAGCTACCATCCCAATTCCACCGCACCGAACTCACCAGGCCCTCGAGCCCAGACGTCGAGCCCAACTCCATCCCACTAAACGCCGCGTCTCTCCATCCGTCCAGTAGCGGCGCGCTTGAAGCAAGCGACTCGCGCCGCGCGTATTCCACTGGATGGGCCGTGCCTGAAGGATGTGGTCGCGAACCTCTACCGCCTCTTGAAGCATCAAATGTAGGGCTTGGTGCTCCTGGCCATGCGACATGCGAGCTGAAGGGGCCAGCTATGAGTAGATCGAGAAGGTCATAATATACCCTAGGGCTCCAACCATATCCTCAGAAGGTGGTTAGACCCCCAAAACCCACCCCAACCACCTTCTCAGGAGGTAGGCCAGGAGCCCTAGGGATATAGAGGCCTGCCTCTGTAACGAAGATGTGGAGATTTTAGAAGCGCGGGGGGGGTGCCTTTTGAATCCGTAACTTGACCTTTCTGTCAGCACTTCAGTAGGACGTTTTGGAATCATGTCACCTACTTCAGCAAAAGCAGCTTGGTCTCAGAGGCTACCGGGGCGCAACTTGGTGAGTTCCCGTCGTGCAGCTTTGCGGTATTCACTTCATCCTGTCCCAGGGCTAGTTGTTGTATCTATCAGAGTCTGAATCCAGCACCTTGGTTGACCACTGAAAATCAACAGAATCAACAACCAACCCAGGAGGGTTTAGGGCTCCATGAAGAGCATCTATACTCGATCGCGCTCTTTTCCGCTTGAGCCAATGTAACGAAGTGTACACCCGATTGACCTCTGGTTTCTGGTGTCGGGTGACTTTCAGTAAATGGATCTGTGGATCTATGATATACAGGATGATCCGTCCATTTCCTGTCCAAAAGCTCTGCCAAAAATAGCTTAAAAATGCTACAGCTTGGCCTTTGGTTTAATGTTCTTTACATATGGAGAACTGTCGAGCTCTGCTCTGACAGAGTACTTATATTGTACTGATTCCAAGCAACAAGTCTTCAGCATACACTAGAAGCGTACACTGCAAGATATCACACAGCACGGATGGAGCTTCACACCCCCCCATGCTGAACGGCTGTTGCTGAAAAGAATTTCTATTCCACAGCTCATCGGAACATCTAAATCTGCATTCCTTTGACTGAACTGCACTTTCAAAGCATTCAATCATGGAACTAGGACCGGAATACATGTGGAATTCTTGAAATCACTTGTGAAAGAGGCATTGTCCTTGGCTTCACTTTACCATCATGCACTGTGGACAACACCAATATTGCGTCTTGCGCTCTGCTCGAAATCTTCGGCAGAAATTATCAAGATGAACAATCTTCGGTTGCATTGATTCAATGCTCGGCAAGTCATGCTCAGCATATAAATCAACGTCTTCAACCAGCTTTGAAAAATCCACACAATCGCAACAAACAAGCTCACCACTCACTCGCTGCTCAAGCAACTTGGTGCAGTGGTAAAAATGAGCATAGTTGTTCCTGTCCAATCTCAAAGGAACTCTGTCTCCCTGCTTGGGCTGAGATTTCTTTGAAATGGGCTTGGCTGGATTCATGTGGAAACATTGTTCGCAAAAATGCAATCTATCAATTCTTCCCGACTGTCTCTTCCTGCAGAATGAAGTGATGTGCAATAAGCGAAAACTGCTGGCGTCATCCGATTGTTTGTAGTCACCATATAGGGTGAATTCCGGTTCCACTATGCTAAGATCCGGACACTCACATACTTTGAGTGTGGATAGCGGCATCGTTCGTGACATGATCTCACTTCTATAACATCCATTGAAATGAACCTTGGCTGTGGCCTCATAAGTCACAACTGTGGTTCCTGCATGGGTGTTCGGTGGGAGATTCACATCCCTCTGCAAATCTGCCAACGAGAGTATGGAACTGCTGGCATGAATCTTTGGCTCATCTTTGGCCTCTTCTACATTCAAAGATCTTGATTCATCTGCTGTCAATCCCGCTACTGGATCTGTTACTTCAGAACTGGCTGCTTCTATGTTCTCCACAACATCTCCCAGTTCTTTGGTGGTATTGCCGAAATTTGGCTCATCTGATTCGAAAAGCTGTGCTCCCAAACGACGAACCTTCTGTTCTGGTTCTTCCGGCTTAGGCTCATCAACATCTGTCAAATCCTTCTTTGACATGGCTAGCACACTGAATTCCGAAATAAACACGTTGCTGGCTCGAAATTTCAACTTAGTTGAGTTCGAAAGCATCTTGAAACACAATATGCTTTGCATATGAATTTCACTGACGTCTTGATTAAAACACTGGTATACCAAATTAAAGTTCTGAGCTCTCCTGTCCTACTGCACGATGCAATAGACCTTAGTTACTTGGATTCTTTCACAGACAACGGTTTGGCTTTTGGAAAACTGATGATCTGATGATCAAATCTGTACAATGACGTCAATCTCACGTGACCGCTCGAACCTTCTATGTCGCAGCATCACGCACATCCGGACAAACAACACCCTCTGGTGTCCACTTTTGGGCAACCCCGATCACTTCCGAACAGACATCCTCTGAAACTCCTAGCTTCGACATCTGAACCATCACAATGAACGTCGTCGACTTCCACGCACGACCCTCTGGTCTGCTTCTGCGGAGTTGATGCACCCCATCAAGAGCCGTCTGACACACATGTGACTTTGGTGACCCGAAACCAATCGAACAGCCAAAACACGACATCTGGTTCACACCAAACAAAAACAAGATCTGGCCTCTTCCGAAGACACCTTTCATCACATGTGTCCCTTGACCCTTATGGATGGCTGACACAACCTCCCTGAACTCTGTCTCAAACGACTTCATCCACGTAGCTACCCAAGGCTTGCTCGCGGTGATCGGCACGAACTCACCTCCATACTGCACCTGTCCATCACACACGCCGGCAAACGAATCATGACCCTGCATGAAACAACCATCTAGATATCTCCTCATGAGATCTAGACCATCCAACCATCTCTTCTCGAGAGGCGGATACAGGCTCCGAGTCCACGGAATCCACGCATCATCATGATGCAACATCTCAACTCGACTCCGAATCCACGGAATCCATGCATCACTACGTTGATGCACCAACCAACAACTCCATCCCTTTACAACTTTAGATGGTGTCGGTCGAACACGTCTGTGAGTCTGTCTGGACTCCACTCTGGAAACCCTTTGCTTCTCAAGCTCAACTAGTGCACCACAACGAAAGATTTCTACACGAAAACTCTGGTTGCACCCTTCTATACAATAAGCTTTCAAGCATCTGTTCCACTTGATCCTACGGATCTGCTGACAGAAGACCTCACCAGACCTCACAACCCTTAAGGTTACCACTATCTCACATTTCTGCAATCTCATGACAAAAACATTGCCACATCCAACGAACCTCTCACGAGCGTTCTGAGCATCGATGATACTCCCCACATCGATCAACATCATGCTTCTTCTCTTCCGCCACTTTCCAATGGCCTTCTGGTTCAAGAAGCACGACCACGCTGTTTCAGCTCTGCACGCTGAAATCACGTCAACATGATCAACCATCATATCTGATGCCACATCGTCATCTACACACTCTGTGCTCCGAACTAGTGCATTGCATGCCCCTATCTTCCAAACGACAACTGCTGCAGACCTCTGGCACCTGTCCTTCATCAGACTCTCACGTTCTCTGATCCCTTCTTGCACCCTGTTGAACATCCTTTGGGAAAACGAAACTTCCAAGGACCTCTCGAGGACTTGTTTCCATTGTCTATGACTATACAACATCTGTACACACACGACGGACAACGCAAAGTAATGTCTTCCCTGAGCTGGCCTCAAGTCGATGGTGCAAGATTCACGTCCAGGCTCTTTCCAAGGACTGTGAAATTGGACTTCAGGTGACATGTTCTTGGCCTTACCTGGTGGACATGCTGGATTCAACAGAATTCCTTTGCTAGATGCACATGTTCCTAACAGCTCCACACAGCCTTCCGTTACCTTCGGCGGTGAACTTCTGGAAAACCGTGCCTTTATATACCTGCGGACCTTGAGCATCCCACAATCTCTGGCTAGCTTAACCTCTTTGCAACCTCCGACAGACAATTCTCCAAACCAACCATCTGTGAAGCATTGCGGTGAAGTCTGAACTGACCTGAGTTGTTTGGCACAGTCCTGAGTGCCTGAAAAAAGGCATGCGCTGGCATCTGTCAATCTGGCTTCTAACGTTCTATCTAT